AAACCCCCGGTTCAGGACGACCCTGAATGTTGCCAGGGTCTTCCCATGGTTTACTGCTGTTTTCATATGTTGCATGTGCTTACCATGTCCTGGAAACTATGGAGGAGGTTTGGATATCGTCGGAACGATCTGAAAGGAAAGATGAAACGTAAAATTTCGCATTTCTTGGCAATGTTATGGAACCATTCATTCTGCTCAATGTCCGCAGGTTGTTGTCCATGTCCGACTGTACAGCCCCACCGGGAATGTGGCAATCATTCGTTGCGATGCGCTGGACCCGTGTGAAACAACCACCGGTTCAGACACGCTTGGCCGCAACGAAACTGCTGGATTAAAATGTGAGGACGCAATCCAATTAACTCTGCAATTATTCGGCAGCAATGTGGGAAGTCGGATCTAGGATTCGAAAGGCACAGCTTAGCGCGGGCAAGTTGGACAAAAAACTATTCCGTATGGTGACTGTAAGCTGTTCTGATTTCAGCATGCTTCATGCTGGCCATCACAACCTTCATCTAGCTAAAGCCTAAAGACTGGAAAGCCAAAGCTTCAGCAAGAACGGATTGAATTTACAACTCCAGAGACATCCATTCCTTGTAGAAGGGCCGCCAGGAGCCGACATGCATCTCTGGAGGAGACCACCAGCAAAACCAGTTGTCTGCTCTTAATTGTCTGAAACCTCACCCAGCTGACCACAAGATACCTGTAGCTTGTGTAGCTTGTGACAAGCTGCCAGCACTGAGAGATGGATTCTCGCTGATCATCCGCACCCCGCCCCGCATGGCCAAGAGAAGGAGAAGCCTGGGCTCTGATGTAAATTTGACACCCCAAAGCCTTGAAGCCTTCAAGCCACACTTGCCACACGTGAGACCTGCCAAGGAACGTGACGTAGATCTTTAAGCCCATGGGGAGGTCCTTGTAGCCTCATACGTAAGGCATCCACCAAAAAGAACTGTGCTTGCAAAACGCAACTTGTAGCTAAGGCGAGTCGCAGGCCAAGGAAGGGCAGCAGATTCCTTTTGTGTTGTAAGAGACCTCGCTTGCACAGCTTAGCCCTCCCTCTCGCTTGGGAACCGCACCCATGTGACCCCTGAACTCTCGTTGTATAAGACGAAGACTGTAAACAATGCCTTTGCATGTCTGAACGACGACTTCTTTAGGCCTTCCTCCTCAACGAGCCTGGAAATCTCTACCCGCAGGGGTAGGACCGATTACTGGGAATGCGGCAAATTCATGATGTAGGGATTTGCTCCAGACGCTCCAATATCAACCCATCTCAATCCCTCTGATTCCACGCAGTGCTGCACAATCGGGCGGCTGCGCTGGGGGTGCAACTCGCACATAGGAGTCGAACATGCCTGCCCAATTCTTGCTGGATACCTCTGTGCAAAAACTCCATGACTGTATCTTTGAACCTGGTTGAGCACGCCAAACTTATGGTAATCAAAATGTACAGTCTGAGAACGCTTCTGTTCAGGGTGGCTTCAGCTCAAAAACTGAGCTCGATCAAGGAAATGCGTGTCAACAGCAACTGATCTGCCACGAGCCATCCCAGGCGTTTGCTGTGTTACTTCCGTCAACCCGGAGAAAACTACTTTTGTAGCATGTTGCCTTCATACCCAAAGCATTCCTTGCCCAATTTTGTCCACAAGGGAGCAGGGGTACTCTAGGCAAGCCAATGTGCCGTCCATTCTGGATTGAGCATCATTGGCAAGAAATCCTGCGGCTGGTCGAATGTTTATGCGTGCCCCACAATCATCAAACTGCCATGCTGAATGCCCAGCTCCCCAACTTGCTTACGTTCAGATGACCAGCTGCCGCACCAAACACATATAAGGTGTTGATGAAACCACAGTGCTGGCAAAAACTATGCGGGATGCACCGAGGACAACTCACACCTAGTTGTGTGTGAAGATGGAAGCCATGCACGTGTGCAGTGATGATGATACTGATGATGATGATGATGATGATGATGATGATGATGACGATGACGATGACGATGATGATGATCACGATCATGATCATGATCATGACAATGTGACTGCCAACTTCAAAGCTCTGCAGACTTGCAGGATTTACATGTCGCCAGCCCTGCAGTCCATCACAAAAAGTCTGGACTTGAATTTGGAGGGCCGTGGAACTCATGCGCCAAAATCCCACTGGCACTCGCAAGTCGTGACCAGAGTGACGTAAATTGCTAGGACTGGGGACGCTTGGAATTAGTCTTCATAAGGTTGCCACATTGTGCTCTGAATCATCTCTTCAAGTCTTGCACGTTCCTGTGGGTCTTGCACCGCTCTCATCAGGGTTCCCAGGGAAAACCTTTCGAAGGCAGCGGATGGACTCTCGGCGGTGGTACCACTGGGATCTCCGGGAGGTGCTGACTGCGACGAGCTGGCACCGACATCGCGGGTGTGAGGTATGGGGCTAGAAGGACAGAGCTCTTCCTGTATTTTAACAGACTTGGTCTCTGCCAGGCTTTGTATGATGAACTCTTCCACGCCCTCGCGGGAATAGCCGTCCAACACAACAATCTCCATGCCGCCAGCCTGCCGGATGAGGGTAGCCCATTCTGCAGCACGACGATACATCTTCTCTGACCCAGCCAGAATGCACATCCGTAATTGAATCTGCTTCTGCCTCGCAGGCGGCAAACGGTTGTACCCTTCGAATACGGGCTTTGCTTCGCGCCAATCCGTGAGGAGAAGGACAAGTCCTCTGGAGATCTCCAGCCAGTTGAGACATCCAGTGGACTTTTTGTGCAAGACCAGATTTGAACCGAAGCCCTTTGCAATGTTTTGTAACTCGGCTAATAATTCGCTCTGGTCTGCCTTGTTACACCTGCCAGCTCAAGCGTGTCACTGGAAGGGATCTTATCACAAATGCTCTTCAAATAGACATGCGCTATCTGCCGTTTGCAGCTCAAATTATGTCTTCTCTACTCTCTGTAGAATGTAAAGGTGCAGAGAAATCTAGAAGCAAAACAACATATCACAACCCAGTCACCGTTCGTAGCACCAGGCCAGACAAAGATCTTGTTCCTGCGGCCGGCAGACGTGCGCGTCAAGCGCAGTGGCCATGCGGGTCGCAGTGGAAAAATTGCAACACTTTCTGCTGCTGAGCAAATTTGGCAAGCGAGCATAAGCGACCCACGAGCCACGCAACAGATATGCAAATGCAACAAAATTCGGCAAAGATCGGTCAAGCAATAGAGAACCGAAACGTGAACCCGACACGTAAACTAGAAAACCTACGATGACTGGCCTTGGCAAATGAAAGCGCGCCCGTCCCGAAAAGCAGCTCACATGCGTGTGCACGAAGAATCAACAAACAAGTGGCCACACGGCGCCTGCCTATTGCCAAAGACATTGCAAACGTTACATCCAGGTCTCGCTGGACATCATCCGCATTTAGCTGCTCACCAGTCCAGAGCTTGCTGTAGGTGGCGTTGAAGCCTCGGCGGATTCTACCAAATGCGTCCAGTTATCTGCTCACGCAAGGTTGTCCCTCCAGACATTGGCCCACGGGAGTTCACATCAATTATGCAGAAGCACTGCAGAGCTTGCAGCATCAAGATCCAAGACTCAGAACATCACTGCACAGTATGCCACAAATGCAAGTGTACAAGCCACACAGACAAGCTTGGCTAGCTGATGGTGCCAGAGCCGCTATCTCGTGTGGTGCAACGCACAGCAAGCGCTCCGGCATTGGGATCAACGTCAGTTGTTGCAACTTGGAAGTGGAAGTCTCAGCTCAGCCAAAACATCCTGTGGACACCCAGGATCAAAAAGGCTGGAATCCCAAGCCCAACACAACAGCACATGCAGCCCAACCTCTGAAATGGCAGAAGACTAGGTCATCATAAGAATCCATGTGACTTAGCTGGTTTTTCGCGAAACGCGAACATGATGGACAAGTTCAAACTTGAAACCAGGACAAAGCCATACACGCACGCTTCTTTCACTCTTCCTATTCCAAACACAACACAACTTTGCAATCCACGTCACGTATTCTAACGCTCTGACACTTGGCCCCCATCACACAGGTAGATTCGTTAAACACCTACTCACAATTATTCGATGGCAGCAATCTCCTAAAAATCATGAAAATCATGATTGCACGGGCCGTTCCCTTGTGAATTGTGCGCCTAACTCGCATTGGGAGCACATGTTTCATGCTCATGTTGCATCATACTGTTAAGTTATCCATATGATTGTCAAACAAAATGCACAATGCTTGCCTTGGCGACATGCAACCTTCCCAGCTCTTCTGCAGCCAAGACATTGTATCGGCCGAGCCTCTCATATTTTTTTAACACAGACACAATGACAGACATGGTCATGTAAACTCGAAGCCATATTCGCAGAGTACCATCAATCTGTGAAAGGAAGTGCAATAGCCTAAATTGCACGCTGACAAAAGATGTCCAATAGCTGGAAGCTAACGACACCATTCGACTGCTTTCCTGCTGACCTGGCCTGCCTCATGTCAATTGCTGTCAAGCAAACACTGTGTACAAGAACACCAACTTTAATCACATGGCCTTGATCGTTCTCCAAAGCTTTCAGGCCCGTCGGGCCAGTGCGAGGCCGGCCACCAGGAGCAACAAAAGTGCCTCGTAAGGCACCAGCACCTTGCCCACCACATGGGCACGCCTCTGACAAGAACAGCATCGCTGACACCCAACAGATCAACTGTGCACAACATCGAGTTCAGGTTCTCGTGAACAAACCATTGAATGGCTTTCAAGTCCGTCGAGCTGTTGCATTTAAACAGCGAATGATACATGATGGCAAACAGCCACAAAAGGCACAATGCGCATGTACACAAAGCTTGCAATGTGGTTACCCGTCTGGGCCAACATTGTACCAACTGAGCTCAGTAACCTCAGGATTCGTGTTTTCGCCTGTCAAGTTCAGTTGCGATTAATCACCTGTTTACCAGCCACGCAGCCAGCTGTTATTCTTGAGAACGCTTATCCTGATTATTCAAACTGTGCTTTGAACATGCTCCAGCCATACCCTGTGCATGCCTCCTCCATTACTGCCGACAGCACCGCCGCATTGATCACCAGCGCGCAGCCGGCGCAGCACAGGCGGCGCAAACCAACCATGCTTATGGTCACGCACCGAAATGCAACCGGTGGTCTTACTTTTGTTTACTGAGATTGCTAATTATTAGACAGGTTTGCAGGCTATGCAGGCTGCACTGGGCAAAAAACATTCATGTGTTGTTCAACTCGATGACATAATCAACTTGGATTCTACCATTTGAGCTGGGGAACAATGTCACCATATTGTGCAACATGCATGCATCTCAATTCCTGCATGGGCATCTTCAAATCTCACTACTTGATACGCAGACTTGCCCTCACTCAGGTCCACGGCGAGCAAGCAGCATGTTCGCGACCCACAGGAATCTACAGGAAGCCACCAAGAAGATGGCTCTGATCGAGTCCATAATGGGAGAATCAATCAAGGCCAAGACACGCACTGGAACCTCTTAAGAAAAAATGAAGGTCCATCAGCAGGCGCCGGCACGGGATGAGAGCCAGGACCACCCAGAAGCTCCCAAACTGAAATGGCAGAAAAGCCAAATCAAGGGAGGCCAAGGGAAGGGTCACAAGCATCCGAAGGGACAGCGAGGGCCGGTGCAATCGCAGCTGGGGCAGTTCTTCCAAATGACAACAATAGGAGGAGAAATCCAACAAGGAACTCAAGTCCGTTGTGCAGGTGATGCGCAACCTACTCTCAAGACACGAAGACCAACCGACGGACTATTTCCAGGCTGGACTCGGGATACGTGTTGTTCCTGAGGACGGACACCAATGACAACTTGGCGACGGCTGCACCACGCGGCGGAACAATGGAAGCTCACCAAGCAGAAGCACCGATAGCAGCTGGAACTGCCAATGAGACTTGTGTTGTATTCTGACGATTGCTGCCAAGTGGGGGAAGCTCTGACCAAGCAGGCGATGAAGCTTCAGCTCGGAGGATGGCAAAAAGACAAAAAGGTCTTCAATGGGATGTCATGCTCATGGAATTGGTGACGCTGGCCGAACAACTCATCACGATCAACCGGTTCCGTGCAACGAAGCCCTTGTCAGCGGAGAGTACCTTGCCGGTCTTGCCAATGCTTCTGGAAGTGGAGAGCCGAACAAATGCAGCGAGTCGGATTTGGCAAATTCCAGATCGACTGGCCTACTCGTCAATTTGGGTCAGCGGTCGTGCCCTTTGAGGCACGAGAGGCTGCAGCGGAACCAAGTGGCCAAAGTTTCCGAGCTACTGAAGCAAATGTTTTCGCCTCACAATTGGGTTCCACTCATGGGTACAAACATGACTGTGCACACACTGATTGAATCTCAACTTCTTTTCAGCACGGAATTCCTTGGGTTTCATGCGCATTTCTATGTTTTTGGCATAACTGACTGACACCGTAGACCTCAGGAACTTCCACAACTGAACGCGGTACATCCCGCGATACCCCTGTACTCATACTGCCATACATCCCGCGGCACGTGGCAGGAAGGTGGGTGAAAAATTTCATCACGTTACCTCAACGCAGACAGTTTCCCATGCACATAATTCAAATTCATGCACATGAAGATCGACAAATTTGGATCCGTGACATCGTGAGGTAAGCAAAAAATGAGAGTCACAAGAATTCTTGGGTCTTTTTTCCAGTCATGGAGCACCAAAATATTCCATCAACGAATCAATCACATCACAAAATATCCCATCACAAAGCTTTCGCAACATGACTGATAAAAAAATTCTATTCGACTCAAAGATGCGGTGGACACTCGGACCCAATTTTTTCACGCCCTCCACCTGCGCTCAAAACGAATGGGGAACTTGTTTCCAAATTCAACTCTGCAAATGGCCAACCTGGACAGCACCTCTGCCTGCCCTCCTCCCCACTCTCTTTCACAGGCAGAAGAGCGGGTCAACCTTTTTGAAGCCGAACTCTGGCCTGGATGCAGCATCTGAGAGGTTGTTTTGTGAGGTATGCGGCTGTACCAACACAAAGTTTGCAAGTCAAAGTCAAGCTGAGCCTTCTCCAGCCGCAAAGCGGCTGCGTTGACCTGTGCCGAATAACTACGCACAAACGAAAACTTGGCAGCTTCATTGTCAATAAAGAAAAGGACACGTCGGCCAAAGATGGCATGCCTCCGTGTTTTCTTTGCGATGATGATGGGAAGATCTCAGCGAAATAAATCACTTGACGTTTGCCCCTAGCACGCCACGCATGAACGACCTGTGACGGCACCTCCACGCCTACAACTGCTTGACCTCCCGACAAGGGGTCCAGGATGACCGCGCCGAAAAAAACAAGACTTTCCTCTTGTTCGCAAGCACCATCAGAAAAGATGATAATAGGTGGTTCATCCTTCCAAGGCCCCATGGCATCCTCCAGGAGACGGATGGCAAATGAAAACCGATCTGAGTCCACTTTTTCCCCAGCAACATCTTGCGAGATGAGCTGTGTTGCAATTTGCACGCAACGACCGAAGGTGTGGCTTGCTGCAAACAAGAGCTTACCCGTAAAGGACGCCAACAGCTTGGCATCCGGAGGGGCTCCTTCAAGGAATGCTTAATGCCATCCACCCGGCCCGGCTTGTTTCTCACGATGATATCACCCTCCCCCGCGCCTTCAAACGAAATCTGAGCACCCAAAAGGGAGGGCCTTCTCTCCCTGGGAAATCTTCCAACCGAAGGGGCCCCAAAATTCCTACGCACTGGAGCGTGTCGAGTCGCACAACCGTCTAGTTCGAGTTGGCAGTGGTCATCGTAAGCAGCCTTGATATGCAAGCGCGTAAGGCCCGAGCAGCCATGTTGAAGCCAGTAACAGCACTGATGGCCCCAAAGGGTAGAGCAACGGCCTCGTAGAAACACACCTCCCCTGAAACCGGATCACGCCCCCAGAATGGAGGCCCAGGCGTCGTCTGGGCGCCTCGCAAGTTGTTTTTCGCGGCCTTCAGATCTAGCGCTTTGCCACGCAACCTTCTGGCCTTTACTCCCTTCCATGCTGGACGCAAATGAAAAACATGCTGTTGGCTGGCACCTGAATTGAATGGTTCACACCTGCTGGCATTTGGCACACGTTCATTGCTTGTTGTGAACATCCACTAGACAAAGCTACAGCTGCAGCAACAAAAGCGAATTGGTCTGCGGACTTTCACTCCTTTTTCTTGGCGAGAGAGCTGGGATCTGTGTTTGACCCATCCTCCCAATTGGAGGAAAGGGTTCAGCAAAAGAAGCAAAGCGGTTTACAATCATTTATTTGCCTTCGTGGACCGCATGCTTATCAAAGAGTACACACTAAGCTATCGTGATTAACCAAAGTGGGTAAAACTAATATCATCCAATCCAAGCTTGAAAATTCTCGAGGGAATTATTTCAACTAAATGTTGGAATTGGACTCCACAATCAGAGGTATTGTGAAACTCAAAGTATTCAGTATATATTTGAATCGTCAATCAAATCATGCATCTCTCGCGCAAACGTTCCCTTTGTTTTTCTAGGCAGAGGCAATGGGGTACGAGTCGGGATTTGCATAGGAGGTTGGCCACGCCCGGACGGCAATGCCAGTCACTGTCGATGGACACAACTTGGGAGCATGCCCGATCCTCCCCCTGAGAAGCAGCTCCGAAAACCGACTCAAACCCCACGAAAGCCATCTAAAGAAGGGAACGACGAGGGCATGGCGCATGGCTTCACTCCGCCCTTTCTAGTCAGGGCATCGCATTTACCCCGGGTCGTCACTTTTTTGCACTTTGAACCGCA